TGTTCGCAAATTACCCATTACTCTAGCCCCAGGCTGTACTATCTATGAAGATTTTATTGTTGTGAAATATCAGAAGCTAACGTTAATATTTTCTAATCAGCTTTTGAAAAAATACAATTGCGTATTGGATTGAAAAACCAATGAGCTAAAAATTCCTCTTAATGAAAAAGATTATATTATCCTAGTCACTATGCATAAGGTTAAAAACAAGCTTAAGGTAAATTGCGCAAACATAACTCTGGATTGTGACGATTTCTCGACTCTGAATAACATATCACAAGACTCACAGGAGTTAAGTGGGTATGACGATGTATTAAAAAAAAACACATAACCTATGAGGAGCTTAAAAAAATGTTATATACTACTCTCATTTCTGAAGCTAAATTAATTGAGATTAATAAAAACCTCTGATCCCTTTTTTCATGTTAACTATTATTAGAGTACTTTTGCTGAATATAATGGGCTAAAAGATGAGTTATAAGCTAGATATTTTTCTGATTCACGTATAGCTTCTTCTGCTTCGATACGATTTTTTTCAATTGAAGCAATTAGATTATATGAGATGTCTAGTGAGGAATTTTGGCAGGAGCCTTTGGTTGAAATCTCAGGTAAGTCAGAACTTTGAACGGGTTTGGGTTTTGATGAATTCTTTTTCTTTTTTGCTTTTCCTGTACATAATCCAAGAGGGACCCACCCATCTCAATAGACTCAAAAAATGGAGAGGTCCTAAATAAACTAGATAATTCACTTGTAATTGACTCGTCTAATGACTTTAAAGATCCTACAATTGGATAATTGTTTTCTTTTTCTTGGGTGTCATTTTTTGAAGAAAAGACTGATGAGATGGATTGTATTTTTCTAAGCTCCTCGAAAAAGTAGTTTCCATTTTGCTGTGAACGCTCACAATCATTCCATATATCATGAACACGATCTTTATTAATATGGTACTCATTTACTATTATGTATACCAGAACCTTATTTTTGAGATATCTAATTTCTTCAATCTGTTCAGGTGTTAAAATGGTAGCACCCCACCGATAATGGGTTTTTAAAATTGAGATAGACATAATCTTCTGATATTTTTAGACAATGTATTTAGATGCATAAAAAATATTAGATATTAATATTTATCATTTTAGATAGATAATAAAAATTAGAATTCAATATTTATTATTTTAGAATGAGAGGGGACATTAGAAAGCATAATTTATTGTTTTAGATGGGTAGAATACATTCTAATACGCTATCTAAAATAATAATAAAAACGATCGATAACCTTTGTGTTCATTTTTTATTTATTGTGATTATTCTCTAACATAAAATTTGAAAGTTTTTTTTACATGTTTATGGCTAATATAAATAAATAGAAACATATGATCTTGAGAAAGAGATACGTCACATCTTACAAGACTCATCCAAGATACGAGATTATAATGCTAAGTTGTGAAATGAATACATGAAGATCAATGATGAGGCCAGACGGTTGAAGGTTGAAAATTCTAAACTTTTTTCCCAATATGCTTGCGTGGAGACCTCTCTTACCAAATATAAAGCTGAATATCATGCAAAATCAGAGAAAGTAAAATCGCTTCAATCTGTGATTAATTCATTCTCTCCAGGATACTTTGATAAGAATAATCGGCCAAATGGTCCCAAGAGAACTAATTCATATGTAAAAAGTGGTGGCAAAAAAAATAATGAACCAGAGAGCTCTAGCGCTTCTTCAGAACAAATTGTACCTGCTATTATTTCCAAAGAAAAGATTTCATTAGGTGGTTCGGGGAACCTATCGATATAGACAAATTACTATCATTGGTGCTCATCTACTTAATATTGCTTTTTTTATTAATCATAATTATATGGTTAGTTATTGTGAAAAAGCTATGAAATTTGGAGAGCATCATGCCAAAAGAAAAAGTCAGATATCCCGTCTACAAAAAATATATAAATAGAGAAGAGGTACCAAAAGTACCAGATAGACTGGAGATAACACCTAATTATTTACCATATGAGTATTGATGCTAGTGGGACTTCTTTAAATCTTTTTTCAATGCAGGCTAATATCATTTTTGATAAATCTTTGGGCGGGTTTATTAAGACCTTTTCTACCTGAGACACCGTATATTCTAATAACTATCTAATATGAATCTGATCACCACCCTTACTATTATGCCTATAACGTAGTAAAAATTGATACTCATCCATTACAATATCTGCCATTCCCCTCCTGATCTACTATTATCTTACGAAATTTCTGTCCATCCTCTTTTGTGATTGGGAGACAAATTTCATTAGGTTCGAAGCCTATGTATTGGGAAAGTTGGTCACATAATTTAGCTATTATATTAATAAAGCTTGAGTTTAAATAAAACTATTAATATTGCACAAGAAAAAATACCTAAATACTGCTAATGATCAGTTATATATCCGAGGCCGGGCTATGTGATCAGAGAACTGAGTTGAAAGAGGCCACCCCGTGACCTGACCAGAGATAGAAATTGAAGTTAGCCAGTATTATTGCATAAGAAAAAAATATATAAATAATATTGTAAGTTTTCTTAGCCGGATTTGTCACCCCCACTAAGAGTACTTAACAATAGATCACTTATTTAAGTGCTTCTTCTTTCATCACAGTTTTAAGGTAGGAATGCTATAAATATCTAAAGTTATTAAGCTCTATAATTTTTGATATATGAGGTAGGGAAGGTAGATTGGCAATTATCTCTTTTTTTCGTATAGATGAAACTGGGCTAATTTCTTCTGGAATCGATACATGCTCATTATAACACATATGGTAGACCAACTTGTGGAAGAATATATTGTACTCTTCTATACATTTCGCAAGCTTACTAGGGTACTTCGCAAAATTAGAGCATATTTTTTCCTTCATTTTGCCACTTACTGAGAACTTCTTATTTTTTGTAAGTTTTTTAGCGCATTCTATAAATGCCTCCCATAGTGGCTCGACAGGATTGTTTGTCATGAAAATCTCATAATTAAGCCCATTGCTATGAAATACTTCATATACACTACCTACCTGTTGATATAATAATTCTTGTGCTTTTTTGACAGCATTTCTGTAAGTACATTGGTAAACTTTTCCACAAGATTCCATCATCTTAGAAGTAATACCATTCACCACGATATTCTCTTTTACAAACCTCCCAAGCTACAACTTGGCTTTCTTTTGAGCATAATCATCTATTTGTTTATACTTCTCATCCAGATCCTCAATTTGCATTATTTTGTCTAAAGATGCTGATTCATAGCTTTTGTCATACATGATAAATTGGGCACAAAGGCCAATAATAGTTTTTTCGAAATAATAATATAAATCTAGCTCCCTACCCAACTCCTTTGCCACATCAACAAATTCTATTTTTTCGCTTTTGGTCAGATGTAATTTTCGACTATGTAAATCAAAAGCTGTTTCTGGATGGGTTACTACAAAACTAAAATACTCGTCTGGTACCGGAATCCTATTTTCATATTTCCCTTTCATTTGTCCCATGAAACGTTAGACACATTTGTTATCGACATTAGGTTTCCATGCTTCAGTCTCTATAAATTGCTCAAAATTCTATTGCTTTGTATTAGTTATAGCGTCTCTGAGAACATCTTCAACGATGTCATGGAGTGATTGGTCATTATTAATATCTCTGACATCATCCATAATCCGTTCACCTATAGTCTTGAAAAGCTGGGATTTGTCTTGTTTTACAGTATCAATTCCTTTTACAAAAAGCTTCTTCAGATCAAAGTTTACTGCATCCTCATGAGGGTGCCAAAATATTTTTTCTTTCCAGTGAACACTACCGGAAATAGTACTTCTTCATAAGCCATTTTAAGATAATCTGATCTACTTTTTAGTTTAAGAAATGTGTTCACCTCATTGCGTAATTTCTC